TTCCCGGACATGTCCGGGAAAATCCGGACGTATGGTAACCCTAGGCTAGCTGAAAGCTAGCTCGGGTATGTCTACACATGCTGCACTCATGCCGCTGACAGCAGTGTAGACACAGATCCATAGCCTTGGGTAAGCAGACAGAAAACTAAATGGACTTTCAACGCAATCAAAGGGGGCATGGATCAGTGTTCATTGCGGACTCCCAGTCAGTACCCCGCCCAAGCCAGGGAAGCTAATGAGCCAACCAGCGGACTAAACTCGGTGATGAATCCTGGTCACCTGAAGCATGTTGCGCATACGCTAAGAAGAATGCAATCAAGTAAGCCCATGAAATCTTGAATTGCCTACAAAGGCATCATGTTACACAGTGAGGCAGCAAGTGTTCCTTGCTATAGCACTAATGAAACTGCACCTACCAGGCTAGATTTAGTTTAGTTTAATGCTGCCAGAGGCGAGGGAAGGAATTCAGACAAGAGTAACAAAAATGAATAAGTTGATGGAGAGACTCAGATTTATGAAGGAAGACCGAGAGAGCTAAATATATGCAGTTTGGCTAAGCACTGACTAAGGGGGAAACAGGGTAACTGCACACAAGTATGGGCAGGGGGTAAACACCAGAGAGGCAGAGGAATGTCTTTAGGTAATACAAGGTTTACCTACAAGTAACTGGATGAAGTTCAGCAAAGGATGATGTTTAGAATGAATGTTAAGGATTTCTTAATTGGAATCTCTCTGAGATTGTTCAGTTTCTCCAGATATTTCTGGCGCTCCTCCCCCACACTCCCAATCACCTGTGTAACCAAGCTTCCCCAAGAAGAAACCCCATACTAGAGTTACCTAGGCCTGAAGCACACATTGCAGAGAGCAACCCTGCACTGGCTGCTCAGGGATGGGCATGATGGTTGAACTGATCTTTCTACGATAACAATGGCTTTCCAGCCCATTCTCCATGAGCATGTCAGTGACTTTGATTGCTCCACCTCAGGGACTCTGAACCTTTTTCATAGCACGGACTACACCTTAATAAAGAGATTGTTTCATGGTCCCATCTCCCCACCCATTTGCAATTGCATAACATCACTGCGGCAACTACACCCATTGCTTGCCTAAACCGCATTTAATGTATTTTTAGCTTCTTTTAATATTATGTAGCAGACAGAAACAAGGAGGAGAGTTAGCCCCACGTAACCAGCCAGCTCTCTCACGGCCACGAGTAGATGCTCCACAGACCTCATATACACAGCCACTGCTCTGCCTTCTTTTGGGCCCAACGCACAAACCACCGAGTAGGTAAAATACTATGTTATCCATTCCGTTCCACTGCCATATTCACTCAGCACAGCTCTAAGTTTAGGTCTAACCCAGCTGCAGCACATTGGAGATTGGCCACATGTGGATTTGGTTACCTGTCCCCCTCTCCATATAACAAATATGGGGACCACTGAACCCAATATCAAAGTTCTCAAGGATTCCTAACCTTGGACAGCTGGTAACAATCTGCCAGACCTGAAAAATGCTTTAGATTCCAAAGGGCCAAAATGAACCTGGGAGTAAGTGTATTAAATGCCCATTGAGGTCGGTGGAACTGCACCCACTTACACCTAAGCTTACTTTGGTTCTTAGATACAGTCTCTTACTAAATTTTTAACAGAATTAATCAATGTTTTCAACCTGCCCCAGTTGAATCAAAAGCGTTCCGCTGAGAAACGTCTGCTAGCTCCCTGCACATTTAAATCTTCCTCCTCCCCAACATGACGGTGCTTAGAAAAGATAACAATGTCCATCGAAGAGTTAACCCTGGAACAGGAGCCACATGCTAACGATCTACGTTCAATGGAGGGAGAAGCAAGCCCTGAACTCAGGCTCAGTCCTGAACCACCACAACTTCTATCGATTTCAAAATGAGTTGAGGATGCTGGGTCTTCCTGGGATCAGGCCCATGCATTATAAAAAGACTCGGATTCTGGGGGATGAACATGCAAGTTACGTATAGAAAATCCTGTTTGTGTCTACCACTGCTTTCTACTGGACAAAAACGGAGTTACATTACTGACCAGAATCAGACCTTAATGGAACAGAAATGGCATTGCTCTCAAGTAGCAGTAGCTTCCAAAGGCTACAAGCCCTAACCCCACTACTCAAGCATGAATGATAGTTATGATCGTATTCCAAGAGACTTACCAGCTTCTGTGCTATGATGTTATAGTGACTGAAGGACTGGAGCAGGGCCACAAAACAGACTTTACAGCCAGCTGGGAAATAAGACAAGACACGTTATCCCTTCAATGTTGTAAGCTCCCCACTATCAAGGCATTTGCAATGAAGAAGAGTCAGACAACCAAAAACCTATCAAAAAGAGCCCAAGGGGAGAAGACTCTCAACACCCGATGGAGTCGCTGGCTCAAATTTAATGTACGTTTATTTTAAACCTTTAAATAGATGATCGCTCCCCCATTTAAAGAAAACTTTGTTCAGTTAAAAAAAATATATATTGCTTAAAAAAAGCCCATAAATTAGAAAGCCACTTATGTCTCCCCTCCCTGCTGCCATGGGAGCCCCAAGCATTCTCTACTGCTGGAGAGTCTTTAAAATAAGGACTATGGGCCACACCAAGACATGGTCTCAGGGGCGGCGCCAGGGTTTTTGGTGCCCTTGGCGGGGGTCCTTCCACACTCCTAGTCGTCGTCATCAATTCTGCAGCGGGGGGGTGTCCTTCTGCGCTCCCGGTTTTCGGGGCACTTCGGCGGCGGGTCCCGGAGCGAGTGAAGGACCCGCCACAGAATTGCCACCGAAGACCTGGAGCGCGGAAGGACCAAGGGCAGCAAAATGCTGCCCCCCCAAATCCTGGCACCCTAGGCAACTGCCTACGTTGCCTAAAGGGAAGCGCCGGCCCTGCATGGTCTTGTCTGATGAATTAATATCTCTTGGAGTATCAAAAGACTCTTTCATTTGGCTATCATGGGGCACGCACATGGTTTAGTCCTTGTCTTGACAGATTCACAAGTTTGGACATAATGATAAATGAGAAGTTTCAACAAAGAAGTCTCTTTTAAGAAAGTTACATACAGGTTTTGGAACATAAAGGCCCTGGCTGTTTGAGGAACATAACACACAGTATCCATCAGAAACACGGTCTTTGAGATTTGGGGCACATGGAATTAATTCGATGCGATTGCTTCTCCCCATTGGAGACTGTGGCTTAGTAAAGTGAGTTCAGTTGGGTCAGTTTAGAATACAGTGAATGTTCAATGATGTCAGAAAGCCACCAAGCAGTCTGGCAGTTTCTGCTAGCCAGTGACATTCTACTCAAACCATACGGATGTGCTACCAATCAGGACTGAGGATCCCTGGCAGAGTTGCGGAGGGACTCAGCACTGAAACAGGGGGTGTTGCAAGGCTGGACTAAGGTTCATTGGCAGAGTTTCTCTATCTGGATATTCCGATAGTCCCCATTGCCAAAGTAGCTGACCAAGCACAGTAGCTCTGGGGTGGGTCTCAGGACTAACGGGAGGACAGGATTGTGGCGCATGGATGGAATACTGTGAGGGATTCCAGGACAGCAAACGGTGTTTGCTGCTCAGGAATGTAGTGCACTGGCAGAGCCGGGCCGGGGCACAGAACTACATTATAAGGCAGTGCTGAGGATCAGAACTGAAGCCCATTAGAAACCCAGGATGGAAAGCCTGCACGGTGCATAGGTCAATATGCAGCTGTGTACATCCTTCACTTTCAAAAGCACTCAATATTTTACATTCAGTTCAAACAAATGAAGGGAAAGTTTGGCAAAATTCTTCCCTCAGGGACACCCCTGCAACCGCACTGAGTGCAACAGGGATACACAGGCATAACGGAGGACAGAATTTGATGCACCAGCACCTATGTGCTAAACATCAATGCAGGTTCGGAAGGCTGGTTCCTGAGAGTCACATTATGTCACAATCCAAACCGATTTATCCAGGACTGCAGCTTTGCCAGGAGAGGTTTGGAAAAGTTCAGGGCTCCTCACAATAGTATTTAAAACAATCCAACTAGACAGGCCTGCTCTGCTGTAGCAGATGAGTCATTAGCAGGAGAGACACTATTACTCAACTTGCCATTTGGGCTGGGTTTTTGTTTGTTCTTTTTTAAACGCAGTCATGGGTACCAGAAAGTTTGCTGATATTTGTAACATAATGTTCCTTTTACATTTCAAAACGTGTGGGTAGTGATTGAGCTTATGTTATATAGCAACTTCCAGACCTAACAAACCAGAGCGTTTTACAACATTCATTTAATTTCACATATCAGAGGGGTAGCCGTGTTAGTCTGGATCTGTAAAAAGCAACAGAGAGTCCTGTGGCACCTTCAAGACTAACAGATGTATTGGAGCATAAGCTTTCGAATACCCACTTCGTCAGATGCATGTCTGACGAAGTGGGAATTCTCCCACGAAAGCTGTTAGTCTTAAAGGTGCCACAGGACTCTCTGTTGCTATTTAATTTCACAACATCCCTACGTCTAAGTATGCTGTGCATTTTGCAGATGGTGAAGCTGAGCCACAGAGAGATGAAGTGACTTGCCCAAGATCACAGAGAAAGCCCAAAGGCAGAGGTCCAACTCCCAGTGTCCTGCTCAAATGATAAGAGGACACAGTCTCCCTAAAACCAAGCTCTATTCCATCGGCTATAGTTCATGTGTCGGCTGGATGATTCTACCAGAGCGACGCAAGTCACATCTTCTCTGCAGAGCTCCACCTTCTCACATACCTTTGAGATAAAAGGAGAGGAAGTGGTGCACCAGGAAGCTGCCATCTGTCTTGGTGTCGCGCAGCAATGTGAGCTTCCCCTGGAAAACAATGAGCAAAGAGCCTTCAAGAAAGGAGAGAGATGAGGGGGGATTTGAAAGCAGCCTTCAACTACCTGAAAGGGGGGTCCAAAGAGGATGGAGCTCGGCTGTTCTCAGTGGTGGCAGATGACAGAACAAGGAGCAATGGTCTCAAGTTGCAGTGGGGGAGGTCTAGGTTGGATATTAGGAAACACTATTTCACTAGGAGGGTGGTGAAGCACTGGAATAGGTTCCCTAGGGAGGTGGTGGAATCTCCAGCCTTAGAGGTTCTTAAGGCCTGGCTTGACAAAGCCCTGGCTGGGATGATTTAGTTGGGAATTGGTCCTGCTTTGAGCAGGGGGTTGGACTAGATGACCTCCTGAGGTCCCTTCCAACCCTGAAATTCTATGATTCTAGGTGGCAAAATTAAAATGCTGATCCCCCTCCCCACATCACAGCTACGAAGGCGGCAGAATCGACGTTGACCGAGGCACCCAGCTATGGGGGGGGGGGGGTCTCCACTGCTATTTGTGACTGGTTACAGGGAAGAGTCACAGACTGGTCCTCAAGCTGCCTCTGTCGATTTGTCCCTTACAACGAGCACCAAACCCCTAGATTCAGGGAAGAGACTCAGGTCCCAGCTACCTCTATACATTCTACCACGTTAGGAGAGCTAGGATTGGCTCCCAGCATGGATTGGTCTTGAAATATGAACAGGACCAAATGGTGGAAAGTGTTCCCAGATTGTGCTACAGCCCTGCCAAGTCCAAAGCTGTAGCAGGGTACAGAAATATGGTTCAAACACACTGCAGCTCTATCTGCGATTTGTTTTAAGGTTTTCTTCTGGCCCAGGACGGATGTAGCAGGCTGATTTCAGTTGGAACACGAACACCTTGTTCATGCTGGCATCAGGCCCAGGATAAACATGTTTGTCACTAGCAGAGTTCTAGTCAGTTACCCTCATCAGTGTAGGCCCAATCTACACTACAAAAGTATAATGTTTGGACGCTGTGGCTAAGTCTACCCTAGACTCCTGCCCTCCAGAATTTCCTGCTGTTGTTACTCTGGTGCAACTCCACTGTTAGTAGCAATAGCAGGAACATTAGCGTAGGCAAGATGCAGGTGGCTGCTGAAGTTTTGACCACTGTGTGTAGTCTAACTATGCTCAGAGCAGGTCTAGACAACATGATGGTGAAACACTAGATACCAGTCTACCACTGGTTGTAGCAGTAGTGAAAAAATGTTGGGGGGGAAAGAGGGGAACTGTAGCACAAATTTCCATCACTGGGACAAGCGGATCTAGGCCCTTCCCCTCAACTGAGTGGGAGGAGCCATTGGACCCAGGCCACAACTCAATACAGGGGACAACAAATAAATACAGGAACAGGAATAAGGTTGAAAATTAGGGATCCAGAGGAGGACACCAAGCAGAGAACCCCAGATAGTGGACACTGCCCAGAGGCATTCTGCCTAGAGGCATGATCAGGTAAGTAGGGGCCTTCCAATTTCACGGCATAAAAAGTGTGTCAGGGACCGTGAAATAAGCCCTTCCCCATGAAATCCGATGTCCCCTTGTTCCTAGGAGAACCCCAGCAAAGGGGGCTCCTAGCTCCAACTGAGCAGGGAAGGAACGGAACTTGTCCCTCCCTGCACACTGCTCTGGGGGTGGAGGGAGACCAGACCCACCTCCGGGTGCCTCCCCCTGCTGCAGGACGCTCTCTCAGACTGGGCAGCACCCTGAGGTTCCTGCAGCTGGAGGAAGCTTGTGGAGTTGTGTCCAATCTTCCCTGTGCTGCTGAGAGCGCCCCAGCAAGGGGCTCCTAGCTGCTACTCCGGGCAGGGCTGGGGCATGACAGGACTTGCTCTTTCCCTGCAGGGCTGCTCTTGGATCTCTCTCCCGGCTGCAGATAGGAAGCAAGTGGGGAGAAGGGGGTGCGGAGCTATTCCCCTCCCTTTGCAGCTGCCTGGGGAGGGGACATCGTACATTTGCAAGTGCTAATATACCACTGGAAAAACTTGATCACCCAAAGCTACATGAGTTCATTCAACGGAATGTACAAAATGG